ATAAAAAAAGTATTGTTAGGGTACAGGAGTACAAGAGTCAAGATTTTATTGCTATTATTACTGCCTTTGAAACTTTTCTTTTCTTTTTTGCTTTGAAAAAATTAGCATTGATAAATAATAAATTTTGGTATTACTTAATTACAAAAGAAGAATTTTGATGACCTCATTTTCGCTGAGATAGGTTTATTATAATAATCTGAAATTTTTTGTTTTTTGGGACTTTTGTCACTTAACTAAAGTCTAACACTTTGATTAAACAAAAAAAAATAGCAGCCGGAATTGCTTCACGTGTTGCACGTTGTTTGGTAGATAGTTGAACAGATTTGATAGCAGAATAGCTTACCAGATAGACGTGAAAAAAATAAGCATTAAGGTGGTGACTCCTACTGGCTACAACCATATACTACCGGTACTTTTAGCAAGTTTAGTATAGGCAACTGATACAGTCTATTTATTTTTTTGTATCTGTGTTGGCTGATATGCTCGTTCTGGTGTAATTTTGATAGTACAGTTCACGAAAGTCGGATGTGTATTACACAAATGTAGAATTAGTTAGCTCTGTCTTGGTTAAGTTTGTTGAATTGCTATCGAAGATATTTTGTTGCGATATCTATAGGCTTCCCTTAAATTACTCTAACTGACGACTACCAACTTAACCTAAGAAAATGGGGGAAAAAGAGAGTGAAGGAGGGAAAGAGGAAGGCAGGAGAAAGGAAGAGGTAAAGGGGGGAGAAAGAAGAATGCCTGTCAATAGTATTGACATTTGCTTTTTGGACGTTCTTGCTACTCATTTCTCTTCTAATTGTAAGTACCAAACATTTGTCTGAACTGACTTTATCTGATGTCAGCAAAGAACATTGCATGGAGTTAAGTTGCTTTTATTCTTGCTCTGAAATTGCATTAATACCAGCGAAACGTTGACGGGCTGCTTTTCAGTTAACCTTATTGATATCCAAAAGACACTGATTTTGTCTCTTGTTGTTATTCTGTTCGTCTAAGACTTTTTATATTGATATAAATGTTATTAGCGATTTAATGAGATATCTTAAATGATTTTCCAGTCATATACGTTTTTATCATTGTATCCTGTTAGCTAACAATAAATCAAGCGATGGAAAACCAACTCATACTTTATCTCACAGTTTTCAGAAAACAAATAAATAAGGTGAAAAAAAGAAAATGAAAAAAAATGTGTTAGTTTCTTATCTCATCTTGTTTTTATTCTGTTTTTCTTTCTTTTTTCGTCTAACGTAGTCTTTACAGAGCGCAAAAAATGGCATAAAATATGTAGATAAAGAGTAAGGATTAAAATAAGGAGGAAGGCAAACGGGAAGAAGAAAAGAAAACTTATAAAATAAAAGGAAGAATTTTTCGCTGAGTTCTGTAAAAAAAAGCGAAAAGATGACAGCTTCAAGCTTTAGACTGTAAAGAATAGTAAACTAGTTGAATGCTCAAGTTGAATTAATTGTATCGAACAGATGGATGGCTGAATGAATGAATAATATAGTGAAGTTACTTGAAGAAAAAGCAAAATACAACTTGAAATATTTTAAAAATTTGTAAAAATTGCTGAGCTTATGTTGTGCATAAGATTTACTATCATTTTAATGGTATTTTATCAATTGATTATAATTATATAAAAAACTTTTTCTTATTTATTTTTTCTCTCGTTGAGAATTGATCACATATAGATTGTTGAAGGCCAAAGAAGTTTTTACTGGTATAACTTTGAAGAGATTTTCCGTCATTTGTTGTCTTCCAACAGCTATGACAATTTAATTTCTTCTGCTTTTTTTAACGTTTCTGTTGAATTAAAATTACAATACTATCGCTGGTATTTGTATTAGGTTGTTGAACTAAAACATTACTCAGCAAAAAGCCGGGAACAACTTAAAAAGCATAAAAATGACGATTTCGATGGAAAAATTGAACTAATGGTAGTGGTGGTGATTGTAATGTTTAGCTGTTTGCTCACTGATATTGGCCAAACGGCTTTATCTTGTGACATTACTTGTCGAAGACATTAAGGTTCTAATTTTTGGAAGATGTTTTATTGGTGTTGGTGGTGTTGCTGTTGCTGTTGCTGATGCTATTTTGTCTACCTTCTTTCTAAGGATTTGAGAATTGTTAGACAGATGTTAAAATTTACATGCAAAAAAAATTTATATCGCTGATAAATAGGATAAGAAAAAAAGCAGGCCACTTTCGAAGTTTATATTCACTGGAATGTTAAAGGTATTGTAGTAGTAGGATTTTGAAGAAACTCAAGTCTTTTTCTTTCGTTTTGCTTACCTGTACTCCCCTTCTCCCTCATTTAATTCCTTTTTCTTCCTCCGCCTTTTTTTCACTTCTACTTCTGATTTCTTTCATCTTATTCATTCGAAATGAAAAACATAGCAAACAGCACCACTAAAACTACTGTCTGTTAGTTGCTGATTAGCCGCTTGCAGAATTCCGGTCACCAACACTCGACTAGTTTAATTTACATCCGTAACTGGGTGAATGGTAATTACACTAATATTGCCACTACTGCCGGCTGCCTATTGTTAATGACGATATTGATGACGACGATGGGGCTGGCCAGAATACCGCATTAGTGGGATTCTTGATGCTTATACAATTTGGTGGTAGTTTAATTGTTAACTGGCTTATCTATTTAGCACTGAAAGCCAGCGCTGTCTAACCTGACCGATTTGCTAACGAATTATTGTTGTTAAATACATTTAGACAATTCAGACATTTATCTTTTAATATTGGTCTTAAAATGAGAAATTTTATTTTTAATCAACTTTCTTCACTGCACAGATCAACTGCAGTACAGAATTTTGAAATAACGGTATTCTAAAGTAGCACTGTGTAGTGGATATCTTATAATATATTTATAGGAACTTGCTGCCTTGGATGTTTATTCTCAGCGGGCGAAGAGCAAATAATTTTTTACAATCAGGAATTTCCACAAATTGTTTTGTTGATAATCCACAGTTTCCACTCAAAATTTTCTGCTTACTCATTTTCACCGTCAACAGCCGTTTTTCTCCCTTCTAAACTTTCCCTGATTAAAATAGCAACGTCAACTACGAGTATAATAACAGTAACGGCAACAAACAGAAGAATCAGCTTGCTTTCCATAGTATTTTAAGTGTTATTTGATTGATGTGCCACTGTTTTTGTATTATTGCCGTTACAGCTGCCAATGAAAAAAAAAAATTATGCAAGAAAGCCAATTTGTGAACTATAATTACACTTTCCACCATTAGTGCTGCTATCCTTCTTATCTCAGAAAACTATAGATAATTTAGGCAGCTCTTTTGATCTCTATTCAAATTTGTTAGCCATAACTCACCAATGTGGTAATAACAAAAAATGTTCCTCAGGAAACCAAGTAACTCACCAGAATAGTCAGCAGGATCGAATAATAACAGTATTCCGGTCTTATTTTCAGCTGTGATTTTCCTCTTGCTGCGTTGAAATGTAAAGATTACTGGCATTTGGTCAATCTGTTTGAGAAGGAAAGAGATAGAAGCGGGGAGAGAGGGATAAAAAAAAAA